TTTGGAAAGCAGACGGAGCTGAAAGAAGCTGGTTTTCACAACAGAACTGATCTGTTTATCTAGCTTTAAGTTACAGTCAAGCTCCACTCCTAGATTTTTTACCACCTGGTTGGCGTGGGGGAGCGGAAAACCTAGACTGGGAGAGATGTTGCATGAATTACTGGAAGCACCAAATAAAATCCATTCAGTTTTATCGTTATTGAGGTGGAGAAAATTCTGAGACAGCCAGTGCTTAATGTCGTTTAAGCAGCTGGCAATAGAGTTGAAACTGAGTGAGGAACTGGGAGTGACCAGCAGATAGATTTGTAGATCATCTGCATACAGATGAAAAGACAGATTATGGCATGCAATGATGGGTCCTAATGGTAGCATGTAAAGTGAGAAGAGAACAGGCCCCAGAATGGATCCCTGCGGTACACCAGAGGTCAAAGAGACTGAAGAAGAAGACAGATCACCAATCATAACAGAGAAAGTTCTGTCTGTTAAATAGGACTTAAACCACTCGAGCACAACTCCCTGAAGGCCAACCTGCTGAGCCAAACGAGTGATTAGGACCTGATGGTCTACAGTATCAAAAGCTGCTGAGAGGTCCAACATCACCAGCAGAACAGGTTTTTTTGGCATCAAGGGACAAAAGAATATCATTCTGTACTTTGAGTAGTGCAGATTCAGTGCTATGACGTGGTCTGAAGCCAGATTGAAATTTTTCAAACAAGTTGTTGTGTTCTAAAAAAGATTGCAACTGAATGAAAACAACCTTTTCCAGAACTTTGGATAAAAATGACGTGTGAAATTGGCCTAAAATTAGAAAAAGCTGTAGGATCTAAACCCGTTTTTTTAAGAAGAGGCCTGACCACAGCATGTTTGAAAACAGACGGGACATAACCTAAACTTAGACAGCTATTAATAAATGTCAGAAGACAAGGACCAATAACATCCAAGGACTGCTTGAACATCTTAGAGGGAATGATGTCCAGGGTACAGTTTGTAGGTTTCATCTGCTGAACCACCTTAACGAGGTGAGGTAGTGAGACCAGGTGGAACTGATCAAACACAGCAGAGGTTATTGAGGGAGCACATAACTGAACAGCATTATATGTACTGACAATGTTCTGCTTGATAGTCTATTTTGTTCACAAAGTAATCAAGAAAACCATCACAGGTAGACTGTGTAGCAGTTTTCAGAACATTGATGGAGGGATTAATGACAGACTGAATGGTATTAAATAAAACCCTTGGCCGGTTACAACTGGTAGAAATTTAATTAGAAAGATATTGTGATTTGGCCTGCTTAACAGCTTTTTGATATTCATGAAGACAGTCTCTCAGTATGTCCTGGGACACATGGAGCCTGTCTTTCTTCCAGCTGCGTTCTGCTTTCCTGCAGCGTTGTCTAAAAGTCTGAGTGGTACCATTAAGCCAGGGATCTGGATTGATTTTTGTAGAAGTCTGTCTTAAAGGAGCGATGGAGTCCAAGATCTTTGTAGAAGTGTACTGAAAGGAGGTGATAAATTCTTCTGGATGTAGAGATGAGTCCAGACTTTCAGCGGAGTATAAGTCAGTGCTTCTAAATGCAGCAGCAAACTGACCTGGAGTGGAGGGAGTGATGAAGCGGCAGCGACGTGCTGGAAGCATAGTCTTTACTGGGGGAGGAGTGGAAAATTCAAATATAACAGGAAAGTGGTCTGAAATACAGGTGTCCAAAATTTCTATAACAGATACACGAAGGCCGTGAGAGATGATTAAGTCCAAAGTATGACCATGACTGTGTGTGGACCCTGACACAGATTGTGACAGGTTAAAAGAATCCAGAAGGCTTTGAAAGTCAGCAGAAAGTTGGTTACAGGGACAGCAAACATGAACGTTAAAATCACCACATAAAGCAAACTGTCAAATTTTAGCAACAGTTCAGCTAACAGTTCTGAGAATTCATTAATGAAATCCTTATTATATTTTGGAGGGCGATATAAAACACCACACAGCAGGGGGGGTGCAGATTCCATCACAAACAGCCGAAGCTCAAAGCTGCTGTAGTTTTGAGGAGGTAGTGGGAGGCAGGTGAGTTTATCACTGAACACAGCAACAAGACCGCCCCCACAGCCAGACACACGCGGTGCACTCAGGTAGGAGTATCCAGGTGGGAGGAGCTCAGAAAATGCACTGTTGTCCCCTGGTTTCAGCCAGGTCTCAGTCATCAGAAATAAATCCAAACGATGAGTAGAGATCAGATCGTTTAGCATAAAGGTTTTATTTGAGAGCGACTGGGCATTAAACAGGGCTGCACGCACTGGTACACAGCCATTTGCGTCATCAGCTGCTCGGGCAAGCGGGCGGAGGTTCTGTTGCACGCAGCCCCCCCTCCTGGTCCCCACAGAGCGACAAGGTGCAAACTGAAAGTTGACGCCAGGATTAACAGGAACGAGGCATCAATGACGAAATACCAGGGAACGTCGGAGGTCGACGATGCCAAACTCCGAAGGTAAGTCCTGCAGTAGAAGCCGATGATCAACCGTACTGTGAGAGGAGAGGTAGAATTTGAATTTGACGAGGACTCCCGCTCTCCTTCCACGTCTTCTGCGGCATTTGTTGCGTAACAACGTCCCGGTAGTGCGGCGTAGATAGGCTGGCACGGACGCCAGGAAGGGCGGTGGTTTCTTAAAATGTCCAGTTTTACCAAAAACCGGTGTGTTGTTTAGCGAATCCTGGATCTTTAGCAGAGTTGAATGGTCGTACACTAGAAGTGAGGATACATCATGGATGAAGAGAAGGCAAAACATGAGTAACTTTAACAAATTCAGGAGAGGTAGACTGCGTGCCATCAACAAAGGCGCCATCTTGGAGTCATGAGTCACTAAGATTCATAACTGGCTGTAACTACCGTACCCACTACTTCACCCAGTATTCACTGGTTAACTGGTCACCATTAACTTCACACAGACTCTCTCACTGGTACATTTTCATCTTTAAATCACTTCTTGGTCTGCTGCCTTCATACATCTCCTCCTACATGTCTCTGTGTGAGTGCAGCTACAGCGTGCGCTCTCAGGACATTATTACCTGCAGTGTTCCCTCAGTGAGGACTGAACTAGACAAAAGGGCCTTCTCCTACTCCGCTCCTGTTTCCTGGAATATCTTGTAAAAAGATTTGAAGCTCTCAACCTTGACTTTTTTTTTACCTTGACCTATTATCATTATTAGTTTATTGGGTATGTATATATATATATATATATATATATATATTTTATTTTTTCTCTCTCTCTTTAATTTTACTCTCATTGGTTGTTGTTGTTGTTGTTGTTTAAGCACTTTGATAACAGGTTCTGTTTTAAATGTGCTCTATAAATAAAGTTGACTTGATTTGACCTCTTTAAGTGGCTTTAAGAATCTGTTGGACTCCTGGCAGGGACAAATGCAGACATGTTCCTGTTTTTAGTTTTCTATTTTTGCCTGTTTTTTTAGCTGTTTTTTGTTACTTTATTTTTAGCCATCCTGTTTGTTAAAAAAAAAAAAATATCTGTATGACTTTTTATAATTGTTTATTATTGTTGCTGTTGTCCATTGTTGTCATCTTTCTTTGTTGAAATCAGGTCTCTCTTGTAAATGAGTCCTCGAGTCTCAATAAGATTTACCTGTCTAAATAAAGGTTGAATGAAAAAACTTCATCACAGGTTAGGGCAGGCCGTCGGGTGTTGACCAGGACTATGTGGGGGTTCAGGGTCTGGGGGGTTGCCATGGGCGGTGCTGGCGCTGTGCTCTCCCTGGGGTTGTTTGGACCCCCTGAGCTTGGCTCTTGGGTGCCATGGTTGGCCCGCTGACCGGGGTGGCTGCCGGGGCCTGGCGGGCGGTCGGCTGGGGGTGCATGCTTGGTTGTTGGCGGTGTGT